TGCTGAACTGAATTGTAACCATTTGAATAATGTGACATTGTACTTTTATTACATTCACTTTCACCTCTGAGAGGTAACATAGTACGACCAGAAAAATACGGATAAAATCCTGTACTGACGCGACATTCCCTATCTGGCCAGCTTTGTTGTCCATCAGATATTACAGGCATAGTAATAAATTTTTACTACATACCTCGATCATAGTCTGATAAAAGAGTAGGCAGGTAAAGGACGCCCCGTCGCAGCCAGACTGTTGTTAATTCCAAAGCGATTTTTTTTTATATTATTTATAATGCAAGCAAAAAGCAAAGGAAAAACAAAAAAACTTTTTTTGTATTTTTTATAATTCAAGCAAAAAGCAAAGGAAAAACAAAAACCGTTTTTTTGTATTTTTTTATAATTCAAGCAAAAAGCAAAGGAAAAACAAAAACCGTTTTTTTGTATTTTTTATAATGCAAGCAAAAAGCAAAAAAAAAAACAAAAAAATTTCTTTTTGTATTTTTTATAATGCAAACAAGAGCCAACAAAGAACGAAATACTTCTATTTGTATTTTTTATGATGGGAAGAGGAAGAAACGAAAGAGCGAAAACTTTGTTCAAATAATACCTAAACTTTAGAGCTCTGAACATTTTTTTTAGAATTTAACAAAATTTAACAATCCAAAATCATGAAATTGGTCCATTTTATAGCTACTGTTCTTTTAATCACAGCGATTGTATTCTTTTACCAACTGCAATCTTGCCGAAAGTTTTTCTGTCAAAGGTATGATGATATATGCATTCATAAGTTGATTAATTCCGTCAAAATTATCTTTTACTTTGTTAGAAATAAAGTTGAATAAATTAACTTAGAATGTTGAGTAGATTATTCTCGATGAATATTGTGCTCGAATAATATTCAATAATTTTGTACCAAAAACTTTCACACTGAAATTATTAAAATGTGTTTTTATCGTATAATAATAAGTAAATTTATTATCAGAATAATACTGCAATTATTAAGGAAATATTCTAAAATGTAAATTTAATTTTTATATGATTAATAAAAATACTATTCGATTCAAACATTTGTAAAATAAATTCTAAAATAATCACCTGAATAAAAACTTGAAATCCATCTTTAAATCGAATTTTTAAAAAATGCATTAAAATAAACAGAAGAATAACGTAACTCCCCATTTCCCTATGTAAAAGTATTTAATAAAGCGTTATTAAATTCATTTTTAATTACAAGTCTTATTATTTAAATTTTAAATGTTTCACGTCTGTCCACATTTAATGTTTACTTAATAGATATTTTTTCCGCAAATAATAAAGTCATTTCATAGCAGAAAAACATACATTAATTATAAAAAATTGCTCCTCATCTCATCTAATTTTTTAAGGGATTCGGCAGTGTTTAAAATGTGATCTTATGAGTTTCTTCTTAAAATATATTTTATAAAGCTGTCTCTTATGCAAAACTTTAAACTTAGTTTACACGCTTGTATGTACAGACAGACGTTTAAATATATACAGAAACATACAAGTCGAGCGACAGAAAATGACTGTCATCTGATCTTCAAGTAATCACAAATTAATGCATGGAATTTGTTTAAAAGTGTAAACAAATCAAACCTTCATGGTGATTTTAGCAAATTCGTAAAACTCAGTATTTGTAAACCGCTGCTTTAAATTTTGCTTAACGCAGGTTATATTGTACTTTTGTTGAGAGAATTGAATTTTTCAATGATATTATTAATTCAATTAAGAAATAAAACTTAAAAGTAAGACAAATTACCAGAGACAAACTAACACAGACTAACACAGTAATACTATGTTCGCGACTTACTTCGATCGCGATTTACCTACAATCCGAATTGTAACTGTCAAGATGTTTGCACAGGCAGTTCGCTTGAGAAAAACCCGGTCATTACACGCGATGATAGAACTGAGGTAACTATGCACTATGTCCGAGAAATCAAGAAATAAAATGGAAGTTTTGGTTAGAAATAAACACTTTTTTTGCCATATTTCTAATAACAGACAGATGACTTTTTTATTGTACAGCCCGATATCTTGTATTTCCCATGCGTGTGGGATTGAACGAACTTTTTTTATGAGTGGACCTTGTTTTAAGAACATTCTTCAGTCAATCGCGATTGAACCTCGTTTCAGTCGAGAGAGTTCGCACCACGGCATAGTCCCCGCCCTTGATAACAGTCTAGATTAAAATATTCAGTACAAATGAGCTATAACAAACTAAGATCCGGCCTTACCATGAAACTGGTTATGGTTATAATGTACAATTTTTTTTTTATAATCAAGAAAGTATAGTTAGAAGTGAAGGCTAAAATGCTCCGTTTACGCATTAACTGGAGTTTAGGAGTAATAGCAGCGTGTTCTATTGTCACAGGTACTTTATATACAATGAAAGTACACTAATAGCAAGATATAAAAATCGTTGTAGACGTAATTGTTATTCAGGCGTTGATCCAAACCGACAGATGACGGAATGAATTGGGATTCACAATTCTGGAATTATATTCTAACAAGGAGAGCCTACGGCTTTGGGGTAACGGATTTTGACAATCTTTGGTGTAGAAGTAGTACACCATGTGAATGTACTACCTGTAAAATACTAAAGTGCAATACTCAAATATAATCAAGAAAATCGAACTTAAAGTTTTTTAGCACTTTATATATAAATTATACATACCTTTATTTGAGCGTTCTGTGGCAGAGTGGTAACTAGTCCGATTCCTAAGCTTGAGTTCTCGGGTTCGATTCTCGCGTATAATTTTTTTTTTAATTCATAAATACTTATAATGTATTTATTTATTTACTCATTCATTTATTTCTTATTATTTATTTATTTTAATTTAATTTCTACTATTCCAAGTCTAATATTTTTATACTTTTGTTGACAATAACGGCGCATTCTTGACACCTATGTGTCAACTTTCCCATCTAATTGTTATCACTAACGGTGACCGATCTAATTCTCACTAGGAGCGTTTTTTCTATCGGAGTTCTTTTTCACTCACTCTTTAACAGTTCGTTTCTAAATTTCGACACGAATAGACGTATTTGTGTAGTAAAACTTATTTTGAAAAATTATTTTATAATCGAAAAATGTCGTCAAGAGAAGCAAGTTCTTCACGTTGTGACGAAAAAACTGTTGATGATACCTTTTAAAAAAGCAGCATTTATTTGTTGTTCTTGGTGTAGACAGAATTTTTGTTTTGAATGTTTTTATCATAAGTATCATTCACGATCATGTACATCTGACAATGATATGTAATTATATAATATTGCTTCAATAAATTATATTCGTTTTTCTTGGTTATATTTGAGTTTTGCACTTTACAAGTTAGTATTTTACATCACTGTATAAAGAGTTATCATCAACAGTTTTTTCGTCACAACGTGAAGAACTTGCTTCTCTTGACGACATTTTTTGATTATAAAATAATTTTTCAAAATAAGTTTTACTACACAAATACGTCTATTCGTGTCGAAATTTAGAAACGAACTGTTAAAGAGTGAGTGAAAAAGAACTCCGATAGAAAAAACGCTCCTAGTGAGAATTAGATCGGTCACCGTTAGTGATAACAATTAGATGGGAAAGTTGACACATAGGTGTCAAGAATGCGCCGTTATTGTCAACAAAAGTATAAAAATATTAGACTTGGAATAGTAGAAATTAAATTAAAATAAATAAATAATAAGAAATAAATGAATGAGTAAATAAATAAATACATTATAAGTATTTATGAATTAAAAAAAAAATTATACGCGAGAATCGAACCCGAGAACTCAAGCTTATGAATCGGACTCGTTACCACTCTGCCACAGGACGCTCAAATAGAAGTACGTATAATTTATATATAAAGTGCTAAAAAACTTTAAGTTCGATTTTCTTGATTATATTTGAGTATTGCACTTTAGTATTTTACAGGTAGTACACTCACATGGTGTACTACCTCTAAACCAAAGATCATCAAAATCCGTTACCCCAAAGCCGTAAGCTCTCCTTGTAAGTCAATTATTCACTAGTAGAATTATTGTGGTGTTAAAGTGAATTGAATTTTATGTGAATTTTTCCTTTAGCACGTTTATCGTAACCTTTATTATTCTTTACGCTAATTAATTAATATATACATTTTAAATTTTACATTATTTGACTTTTAGAAAATAAGAGTCATATTATAATTAAAATTTACGTAATCTTTTACGTACCTTTTCATTATTGAGCATTTATTTTCTTTTCCAACAGGAAAAGATAACCGATGGCAGATGGCAAAATATATAGTGAAAGATATCCGAACACTTCGTTGTTTTCTGCAAAGAGTATATAAATCAAATACCATGATACAATGATTATATAGAAAGTAATTATTATAGTCTAACATTATTATATTTATAGCGATACTCGAATGGTACGAAATGTCACAATTTCATAGGTGAAGTAGACACCAATTGAAAATATATCTTAAATTTTTAATATGTTTGTTCTGACAAACTCATCAAACAGTAATCTGCCGACCAATCAAATTTGGCGAAAAATACTCAAAATATTTAAACTCGCACTCTAGAAAACCATTTAAAACATATTTTGTGCTGGCCGATAACATGGTATTATGTAATTTTCCTAATCGAATGCCATCATTTTGCTGTAACAATAACTTTTCCAAGAATAAAATATATCGATTAGTTTTTTCGTAAATTTGCTATTTTCAAAATAATATTTAAATATTTCGAAATCGATTTTTTCAAAATTTCAATATAAACTTTCTAAGGCGAAACATTTAAGATGTATAAAATTATTTTAGAGACGAAAATCTTTAAATATCAAAACATTATTTAAAAAGTTTAGCGAGGAACGAGAATGGGATTATAAGTGTAAAGTAAGAAAAATTAAAAAATATTATCTTACTCTCTCAGCTTTTACTTACATCAACTTTTCTCATGGGCTTATTTTTGCTTAAAGGTTTATCGTCAAATTGAATTGTTTCTCTTTACACTAAAAATAAAATTTTTTAAATTTACATTTCAATTTTTTTGTAATTTAATATCGTAATTTAGCCATTAATTATAAATAACTTTATGAAAAAAACAAATGTAACGTTGTAAAATATCTGTGTTAGTGTGAAATATTTGTACGTATTTAAATATTCATTTATTTTCACAAATTAAGCCAGGACGACACGTTTATAAATATATATCATGTTTAAACTATAAAAGAAATGACAAAGCAATACACATGCATAGATTTTAACTGTCGAGTTACAAAAATGTTTATTTCACATTTATACATATTTTCGTGTAAAATCTTCAGTAAGTCCTCTAAAAATATTATGCACGTACTGTACTTCCTCTATTCCTCCACCTCTCGACTTTTAGTTACCAACATTGAATAGTGTCTATGCCCCTTACATAGAAGTTACCGTGCAAACATTTTCTCTTAATGTTAGCGTATTGTGAGATATTAAACGAAATAGACGGGAAAACAGACAGACACCTATTACTGTTTAAATAACAAAAATCATCATCAATAAAATTTTTGACGAAATAAATGGAATCTTTGTAGAAATAAATGATCTGTTTTTGAATTGTTTCGAATATAATAAACTACGACATACAACACACGTGAAAGACTGCAAATGGATAACTAATATTAAGATTTATAATTTAAATAGATTGAAACAAAATGAGTTTAACATCAAAAAATTTTATAATAACTTTTGAAAAGATTATTTTATAAGTCGAATAATTCTTTATATTTTTTTTTTAACCTCACCTTCATTCAATACTTTCATTTTTTTCTTTATTTTTGATGACGATGGAAACATAACGTCATCGTCTTCCGACGACTCTTCGTTCTCTTCGAATATAACCTTTTTGACCAATGAATGTTTTTCTAAGAATTCAAATTCTTTTTTCAATGGTCTGATTTCTTCACGACTACTTTTCAAATGCCAAAAATTACAGTCGTGTTCTTCATCGGAATTCTGTAAAAAGTAAAAATTCTGATTCTTGATAGAATAATCTTACAGTAGTCGAAATGTTCTTGTATTACTCGGAAAAAAATCATTTATTAATTAATAAAGAATTTGCAGCCATTACAAACAACACTTTCAATAAGATTGTGCATTTCTCGTGTTGTGTTTTTCCGTTTTAAATTTTTAGACGATAAGAATTATTTAATTATTTTAATTGTTTTCATTGAATTGTAACTTACAGAAGAAGAAAATTTTGTTTCTTCTGGGAAATCATCATATATGGCAGATGTTAGTTGCATTATATCACATACTATTTTTTTAAAAGAGTCTTCTGCACTCACTTTATTTTCAATTTCCATTTTATTATTAAAACCTGAAGAATAAAAGTAAACGCAATAAACACAGCAATTCGTAAAAGTTTTTCGCGTTAATTCAATTAATTATATAAAAATTTGAAGGAGAAAAAGAAAGGAAATAACAAACAGTTTATATCAAATGAACAGATGAACCCAATATTGAGGTATTGGATAAGATCGAAAAATGAAATAATAGATTATTATTTATTTGAAAAAAATACGTTTAATGCTATAATTGTCTGAAGCAGAAAATTAAGGCAAAGTTAAATATCGTGAATGGCAGTAAAAATATATACGCCGTTCTTATCACCGTATAACATTCGATTGGGATTTTTAAACGTCTGATCGAAAATTACTTTTAATTTTATGTTTTTATATTCATTATCGACACGATGGAGCACAATTAATATAAATATGCAATAAAAATGTAGTTTAACTTACTCAAAAAACTTATTTTGCACAAGATATCTCGCATTCGATAAATTATCACCGAACAATACGCATCGACAACAGCCGAAAAAATATTTTTAAGCAACAATTAAAAACGTGCTTACGTCACGCTGATTACAGAATGTGCTAAGAGTTAAGTACGTGAATTAATTTTATTTCTTGTTTTTTTTTGTTTGTTTCTTTTTTGATAGGTAATCATAAAAAACGACGTGGGCGATTTACTTATAGAAACGCTTATCGAGATTATTTAGAGGCAACGTTGTTTTTTTATGCGTTATATGCGTGAAGAAAACATGGAAAACTGTACGTGGCCAGTTCATCGACAATGTGTGAACTTTATCCGCGTGGTGGAAATTTTATTTCGAAAATCTGTCGCTGTCTCACAACGATTTTTTTTTACTACATTCACTGTATCAACGCAATAAAAGAAGTTCTTGCTTTTAATTTTTTCTAAATATAAAGCATAAAATTAATTAATAATAACAAATTGAAATGTCACATTTTTTTATTTGTACCGATAACTATTTTTAAATGTTGTTTCATTTATAAAAAAAATCCAGATTATTTGATTTTCGAAATACTAAAACATAATAATATTGAACAGCAGTAATTTATGAAGTAATTATTTCAATATGTAAAAGTAAAGCATCTCTCTAATTTAAATACAATAATTATGTAACCCTACAGAAACATTCGATATAATTTTTACATATAACGACTCATTCATTTATTACTTCTTTGTTCTTCTTGGTATTGTACAAAACAAAACAAACACGGCATTAAGGTTACGTCAAATTCCATACCTTTCTATTTACGTATTTAAATAGTAATTTTACAATGTTCTTTATTATTATTATTATTATTTTGTAGTGACAATAAGTTTATGGAACCTTTTTCGTGTAATTTACGGAGAATTGCATTGAATATATATAGATATATATTTAAAATTTCGTTATAAACATTGTTGTTTCTGTTGTACAAATGTATACAATTTCGTATTTTAGATAATGAATATTAATAACACAATATTAAAATTTGAAAATGAACCTGAAATTTGTTTTCGTGTTATGTTACACATTGACATATTAATATTATATATTTATAAAAACAAACACCTCATTCAGTGAAGTAATATACAACAAATTGCCTGGAAATTTTTTAATTCTTATGTAAATTCTGAGCTGCCAATATTAAAAATGCAGCCGTTTGTCACATAATGGTTCGAATATTGCAGAGTGTTTTTGAAGAGATTTATTAGATTTGAAATAACCATCGTTACTTATTTCTTTTAACTTTGTATTTCGCTTACTTAAGAAAATCTTTCATTGTTATTTCTATTTTATAATGTTATAATGCTATAAAATGTTCTTATAATTTCTAATGTTCACTTCTTTTATTCATGTCAAAGAAACCTAATATTTAAATCTTAGATAAGATTACAGGAATGAAATAAATTGTTATTCATTTGCAAAAAATACGTTTAACGTTCGAATTGTCTGCAGCAAAAATGCACTACAAAGTTAAATATCGTTACTATGGCAAAACTATCACCGAATAAAATTTGGTAACAAAAATCAAATGGCAATAAAGAACTCGAACATTGAAAAGAATGTGACAAGAATCAAGAAGGTGTTTTCTCATATCCATCACTATTGTTCCACAAAAAGAACATACGGAGTCACATAAAACATTAATTGTTTTACTAGTTAAGTTTATCGAAAATTTATTTAATTTAAATTGTGCAGCAAATGATTTTATTTTATAACAGAAATCAGAAAATAGATAAGGCGCTGGACTGCACGTTCCATTAAGAAAAATTTTACCATTCCAACCTCTTGCACTCGAATAATGAACATCTTTTAGCCAAAATAAGTTTCGTAGTCGTTGATCACAGTTTACAAATAACAAACTTTCACGTAAATGCACAAACCAGAGGACAATCTTATATTATATAGTAATCCTTTAGAAATAGCGGGCCATGGCTTCAAAAAGAATTACCCTTTATCTGCGAAAGTCTTGTGTATATTAATTTTCGGTAGTTATATTTTGGTACGTCGATAAGTTTCATCCAAAATTTAAACAATTTTATCGACCATTCAATAGCGAGGTGAGGTCTTCCATTCTCACTGCAGGTCCTGAGGCAGATCTATTAATATGGAACACCTGCTTTAAATAGAATAACTGTATAGGTTTACATTTGTCCACTGAAAGACCGCTCCAGAAATGCAGTACAAAATGAAAAAGTTTATATAAGATTTCTAGTATTAGTAAACAGACTCTTAAGTTGACAAATAATGCAGAAAGACTAATGCTCCTAAGCTTATACAATAACAAATCTTGCTCGACTGTATCGAAAGCTTTCTTCAGATCAATAAAAGCCGTATATAGTTTCCCTGGTTTTCGAAAGTGAAATTTGAATAAGACAGTCAAAATAAACAAATTGTATTCGACGTTTCTAAATTTAACAAATGTTACTTGGAGAAGTGTAACAATATTAAACTCATTCATCTAATTCCGGAGAGGATTTGCCATAACAGTAGAAAAAACTTTTCTAAATATAGCAATTAAAGCAATTGGTCTATAATTAGTTGACGTCTGCCTACACCCCCACTTATAAATCAATTTGAAAGCAATTTGTTTCCAAGATAGAGAAAAAGAGCAACTAGACTAAAAAGAGTTAAACATATCCAATATATCTAGAAGTATTTCTGTAGAAAGGTATTTTGTCATTTCGTTCCTTATATTATCAAGACCTAAGGTCTTAGATGATTTTAATTTTCTGATTAAATTACCATTTCATTCAAAGTGATAAGATTTTCTAAAAGAGGAATATTATTACCAAAACTTAAATCAAAATAAATTACTGTATTTCTTCCAGCAAAATACTCTTGCAAATGATTCAACCAACCCGAGGGGGATATAGCAATTTCACACGGTTTCTTAATTCGAAATTTTTTATGTTGTAAGCAATAATATCTAGTGTTTTTTATCTTCAATAATAATGAGTTTATTTTAAGAAAATATAACTTTTTCTTCACCTTACATGGCGACTTGTAACTTTTATTTAATTTACAATATTCGTCCAATAGATTTCTAGTTTGGTTTCTACGACACATTCGAATATTCGCTTCTTTGTTTTCTTCAAACGTAGACACTGAGAATCGAACGATTGCTTTTCAAATGATAATAAAGACATATTTTTCTCAACCGTTCCATATCGTGAAGCCGAAGTCAAAAAAGTTTTCAATAGTTCATCATAATAACTCTGCGCTTCCAACAGAAAGGTCCATTTAACCGAGGTATATAGCGAGCTGATCATAGGTAAATAGTAATCCGATCTTTCTTGTTTTCGTATGTAGCGAATATTTGGAAGTTTCAGAGTCAACACACTGTCCGTCGTAAATTCGAATGATATTGAAAGAGGAAAATGATCAGAATTGAAAAGTTCAAGAACTCTAAAATCCAGTAAAATGTCTGATAAATTTACATTTACTGTTATTAGATGTATAACAGATAGACCGCCTGTCGAAAGAAAAGTAAATTTAGCCGAGTAGTCTGAAAGCACATAGACCGTTAAAATATGCAATTCGTACGAGTTAAACCAGAGGAAAAAGATTTTATATAATTGGTTAATATTAAATGATTATTTCACCTGTATTAATTTTTTTTACAACAGAGAAAATTACTACAGGTAATTTAATAAAGAAGATTTATTTTTTCTGAACTAATTTTCATTATTGTATGAATATTAAAAGACCAGTGTAAAGTCCTAGTAATGAGCAATGTTCAAGTTGACAGTTTAAAATAATCTAAAAATACATTTTAGACACATTTCCCAGTAATGCCGAGTAAGGCTGCTTTGATAAAAGACAGTTCAGCTATTTCCATTTTAGGCAATAAATTAATAGAAATATTAAAATTTCAAAATAAAATAGAAATAAATTTTTCAAATGTAAAAAAATAAATCTAAATTACACGTGAATAGAAAATATTATCTAAAAATGGTAGCATTCTTTAGATTGTAATGAATTAAAATTAATTTTTATTAGTTAATTTTAAAATTTAATTTGATTAAGCGAATAACTTTGGAAACAACACAGTTCATACAACTATGTTTTTCCGTTAGTTAAGTGAAAAGTTAATATTAATGCGACGAGTTGTCCCCAGAAAATAAGTTAAACTCATCTTTAGTTCAGGAATTAAGTTGCTCTGATAATTATTCACTTTAAAATACTAACAATTACACGCGGAATTCGTTCCAGCAGCACAGTTTTTAGCTTCATCTGCACGTCATGCAAGAAGTTTTGGTGTTAAGTGTTTAAATTTTACACCCTTTTTTTACTTTTTGTTGCAGAAATTATCTAGATCCTGCAGTTAGTAATATGTAAAATTAATTACCTCTACAAAGTCTAATTTATTGTGTAATTTTAATTAGATTTCTCGGCAATATTGGTCCACGGATCCCTGTCGGCCAGCAAATGGGTTTACAAGGATCTTTGAGTTTATAGAAGAAAAAGTAGAATATTACATTGTACAAATTAAAATATATATTTCTTGTAATGTTTATCTTTATAAAACGCACATTAAATTTTAAACTATAAAACTTATGAAATCATATAAATAAAATTAGAATGTTTGAAACAAAGACATAATTTTAAGAAAACACTTATTAATACTTCCTGTATAATTTAATTAAAAAATATATAATATATTTTAAATTAAATTCTACTCTAGGAAGCCTGACAATGGTTTCCTAATTGTTTTATATAAAACAATTTTATAAATTTTATAAACGAGCTTTTGCAGCAAGTTTTTTTGTATATTAAAATGGACTATCAGAAAGTGAAGTTTGTAAATTCCATTGGGATATTTTGTATTTATAAGCATATTGTTCTCCAAAATCTTTCAAAATTGTATTAAGTTTTTCTCTTAGAATTTAAATAACAATACACTTTGATAATAAGAATATCAAAACTATGACAATGAAATGTTGCCTTAATTATAATAGAAATGTAAACAATACGCAAGTGTTATCCATCATTTTTTGTTTGTTTTCTGTTACTATATCTACAGACCAAGTTCTTAATCAGTTCTATAAAAAATATAATTTCTAAAAATAAAAGATTATCTTTAGATAAGATAAACGAGTAAAATAAACACACTAATGTAAAAACTATTTAAAAAA